TTATGTTTTTTTTTTGCGAGGGGGTAGGGGAGGCCCCCCCGGCTCGAAACCCGCTCCCCGCCCCCCAAACCCCGTCCCCAATCAGCCGCGGCCTCGGCCGAAAGTTCGTGACCGGAGCGGCCACGGCCGGAGGGGTCCCGCCCACGGCCGGCAGTCGCGGCCATGCCCGAACTCGGCCGCGGCCAAGGGGATACATAGCTTGTGGAACTCGTCGAAGGCATGCAACATAGGAGGATTGGGGCTCATTTTGATAAATCGGTTTGATTCCCCGTTGTCGATTTTGCCATATATTGACATGACTCTGCTCCCCTGGTCTACGATGCATGTCAAGTGAAAGCCTCAGTTTAACAGTCTGTGGTGCCGACTACGAAACTCGTGTGTCTGGCGAAGGTTGGTGCCGGGGGAAGAAGGGTCCGTCCGGTTCCCAGATCTTTCCCACAACACAGAAGCTCTTCCAACTAACTTTCGAACTTGGGCACCTCTGCTCCCGCCCCCGTCAGAGGATGAGGGACCAAGCTGATCGGACGCGCTCCGTCGACCTGACTCGGATGCTTAGGGTGTCCCCTGTCTCCTTGGCCCCCACGAAAAGGGCAACGTGACCCTAACTAAGGAATTATCAGTAGATTCATTTTGTTTTTAATAGTCGTTGTGGTTATATCAAGTGTTAAATGAGTCGTGTCTGTTTCCTTAAGCCGACGAGTGAAATTTTATCGATGCCCCGCCCTTTCTTGAGCTTATCTAAGTTTTGAGGTTACCCCAGTTGGACAGAGCTTCTGAAAATGTCCCTCGGGGCTGAGGCAAGAACCTCAATTTCGCCCTCGTGTTTCAACTATGATAATCGCCCAAAATCCCCAGCCACGCCCCAATTACTTTGATCGGTGTTCCCACGGGTACGGGACGCTGTGCGGGGCGTGAGGTTGGTATCAAAGCTGATTCGTTTCGGCTTCAATGTTTCCTCAAAAGAGTCATGGCTTTGGAGGGCTGGCACCTCAACACCGTCGGTCTGCCAAAGGTAATCGGAACCCAGTTCAAGGTAAGCCTCGGGGTGGAGCCCAAGCTACGACTAAAGTTCAGCCAGACCAGCTGGCGGGTAACCATATTCGTCTAGCTCTGAACCCCTTGCACCTCGTTCCTTCTCCTTCCAAAGTTCCAATCATTGAAGAAGATGAAATCGACCCTCGTACCTGGTTGACCGCTTTAAGGGCTCGGAGAGGGTATGATCAACTGCTCGAGGAATGTATTCTCGGGAGATCGTCGAATACGACACTAACATGGTACATACATAACCCTCATACTACTTGGCGGAACTTCCAAGAAAGCTTCCTTAAACGCTTCGACCACATAGCCCAAGGACAATATCTTCGCCTCATGAAGGAATGCACGCAGCAGCCTCTAGAGACGCTGGCCCGATGCACAAAATACCTATCTG